AGCAGTATCAGCTCACGCTTGGTCATTCAGGATCATTGTTTCTCCTCGAACCTCTACTTTGGCTTCCATTTTCACCTGCCTTTACAGGAAGCCTACACTATTAGTTGTCCTTTCTCTTGGGTATTCATCCGTCTAGAGCTTTCCTTTTGGCTTCTAAACTTATGTTCTCATATTTAAAATGATGCTTCATTAAAACCATTAACCTGTGTATCTCCATTTCTTTCACAGCTGTATTAGTCGGTTTTCACACTGGTAGAAAGAAATACCTGAAACTAAGTAATATAGAAAGGGAAGAGGTTTAATTGACTCACAATTCCACATGGCTCAGGAAGCCTCAGGAAATTTACAATCATGGCAGAAGGGGAAGCAGGCACGTCTTACATGGCAGCAGACCAGAGGTCAAGTGTGAGCATAGGAAAAACTGCCTTGTATAAAACCATCAGATCTCATGAGGCTTTTTCACTATCATGAAATCAGCGTGTGGGAAACTGCCTCCATAATCGAATCACCTCCCAGCAAGTTCCTCCCTTGACACATGAGGATTCCAATTCAAGATGAGATTTGGGTGGGGGCACAGAGCCCAATCGTATCAACAGCCATATGAGAAGTCTTCAAAAAGTTATTATCAAGAAACTATGCATAGATTGCAAAATCTTTTGGTACCAAAAGAAACTGGTACTAACTCGTTAAAAAATACATCAACAGGATCTAGTTTGAGGTATGAAAAAGGAGAAATCATTTTTTAAAAAGCCAGTATCAGAGCAAACTGAATTCTGCTAAAACTGAAGGAAGAACAAACATTAAGGTGATGTTTGCGTGGAAGAATGGTAAAATCACTGATGCTTTACCAAATGTTTATGGTGACAATGCCCCTAAAGAAATCAGCAGTTTACACATGGAAAACTTGTAAGAAGGGACAAGATGATGTTGAAGATGAAGCCTGCAGCAAAAGGTCATTCACATCAATTTGTAAGGAAAAAAAAATTAATCCTCTTTGTTCTCTAACTGAAACGCATTGGCCAGACATGGTGGTTCACCCCTGTAATCCCAGCACTCTGGGAGGTCAAGTCGGGTGGATCACCTGTGGTCAGGAGTTCGAGACCACTCTGGCCAACATGGTGAAACCCCACATCTAATAAATATACACAAATTATCTGGGGGATGGGGGTGGGTGGCAGGCACATCTAATCCCAACTACTCTGGAGGCTGAGGCAGGAGAATTATTGAACCCAGAGGTGGAGGTTGCAGTGAGCCAAGATCGTGCTACTGGCCTCCAACCTTTGTGAAAGAGCGCGACTCTGTCTCAAAAAAAGAAAAGGACCAACAATTAACAGCAGAAACAACAGCCAACACCATAGATATCCCAATTGTTTCACCTTATGCAATTCTGACTGAAAAATTAAAAGTTGAGCAAACTTTCCACTTGATGGGTTCGAAAACCAGATCAACTGCAGACAAGAGCAGAGCTTTCAATGGAAATTTTAAACAAGTGGGATCTATTAGGTTGCTGCATATTAATTGCTGTTTATGCCATAGAATGTCAAAAACCACAACTGGTTGGTACCAACCAATAGATCATGAAGTAGCTATGTAAGTGTAACAGGAGGTGATACGTGGCTTTCCCAGTATGACTCTTAAGACGAAGCATAATCATAGTAATGGCTCCAAAGAGGTGGAAGTGGTCCAGTCAAAGCGAAGTGGACTGGCCAACAGCAAAGATCATGGCAATAGTTTTTTGAGCCGCTTGAGGAACTTCCCTTGTTGACTTTCTGGAGGGTGGAAGAATAATCACACCTGCTTATTATGACAGTGTTTTGAGAAAGCCAAAGCGTTAGCAGCAAAATGCCCAGGAAAGCTTCACCAGAGAGGCCTTTTCTACTTCAGCAAAGCTTCTGCTCATGCCTCTTATCAAACAAGTGCAATTTTGAGAGTTTCAATGGGAAATCATTAGGCATCTACCTTACAGTAGGAATTTAGCTCCTTCTGACTCCTTTTTGCTTTCTAATCTTAAAAAGTCTGTAAAGGGCACCCATTTCTCTTCAATTGATAATGTAAGAAAGAGTGCATTGATGTGGTTAAATTCTTCTTTGGGGAATGGATGAAATGGCTAGTATCCAATTGTTGTGAGCAAGAGACAAAAATAAATAAATAAATGGCTAGTATCATTGCTGACGAGTGTCTTGACCTTGGTGGATCTTATGATCAGAAATTATATTTTTTCCTTTTATTTCTATTTTCCACAAACTTTTCTTTTTCTATGTTTCTTTTCTTTTTTGAGATGGAGTCTGGCTCTGTCACCCAGGCAGGAGTGCAGTGGTGCGATTTCGGCTTACTGCAACCTCTGCCTTCTGGGTTCTAGCGATTCTCCTGCCTCAGCCTCCTGAGTAGTTGGGATTACAGGACCCTGCCACCGGGACTGGCTAATTTTTGTATTTTTAGTAGAGACGGCGTTTTGCCATGGTAGCGAGGCTGGTCTCGGACCCCTGATCTCAAGTGAAACACCTGCCTGGGCCTCCCAAAGTGCTAGGACAACAGGCGTGTGACACCACATTTGGCCTTTTTTTTTGGGGGGAGGGGGGTTGGTGTCTTGTTCTGTCACCTAGGCAGGAGTGTAGTGGCGTGATCTCTGCTCACTGCAACCTCCGCCTCACGGGTTCAAGTGATTCTGCTGCCTGAGCCTCCCGAGAAATCTGGACTACAGGTGCGTGCCACCATGCCTGGCTAAATTTTTTTTTTTATTTTTTGGTAGAGATGGGGTTTTGCCATGTTGGCCAGACTGGTCTTGAACTCCTGACTTCAGGTGATGCACCCACTTCAGCCTCCCAAAGTGCTGGGATTACAGGTGGAAACTACCATGCCTGGCCTATGTTCTTTTAAAAATCCATATGTGGCAGGACATGGTAGCTCAGGAAGGACTGGCAGGATGAATGAAAATCAGGCAAAAGCTCAAGGATGTTGTCTAAACATTTTGTTCTTATGGGACAAGAATAGTTGAGGTGGTTTGGATACTTCTTCCCAGCCAAATCTCATGGAAATATAATCCCCAGTGTTGGAGGTGGGGCCTGGTGGGGTGTTTGGGTTATGGGGCGGATCCCTCATGGCTTGGTGCTGTCCCCTCCATAGTGAGTTCTTACAGATCTGGTTGTTGTGAAGTGTGGCACCTCCTCTCCGCTCTCACTCTCTTGCTTACTCTGTGATGTGGGATGCCTGCCCCTGCTTCACCTTCTGCCATGAGTTAACAGCTCCCAGAGGCCTCTTAGAAGATGAGCAATGTCAGATATCTTGCTTGTATAGCCTGCAGAACTGTGAGCCAATTAAACCTCTTTTCTTATATATTACCCAGTCTCAGGTATTTCCTTATAGCAATGCAAGAACGGCCTAATATAGGAGTGAACCATGAACTGATCATTCCCTGGTGGACAAAACAAAGGCATGCTAGTGAAGGCAGAAACTAACATCATTCATCCCTATCAATACTTCCAAGAGGTTAATTCAGTATCAAAAAATTAATTTCTCAAAACTCACAGCTATTTAGTAAAGTGACTCACTAGACTTAGCTTCATACTTGAATGCTCTTGCTATTTATAGGCATCAAAACAAAACAAGCTGAGACTATAAGATGCTATTTAACAACAGCAGACATTGGTACCGTTTCCTTCCTGGAGAGGGTATGCGCTCAGATCATGAGACCTGAGATAAAACAAACTGGATTGTCAAGAGTCAAATAAGGACTACATTTTACCTCTCAATAGAAAAAATGCTGAAGGCAAAATGAGATGCTTTACAATATTTTTATGCTGAGCTATGTAAGCAAACAAAAAACTAAAACTAATCCTGAAGCTTTAGGACACTGAATACAGAAGTAACATGACTACTTAAATGTTTGTATCAGCCGGGCATGGTGGCTCACACCTGTAATTGCAGCACTTTGGGAGACCAAGGCGGGCGGATCACCCAAGGTCAGGAGTTCCAGACCAGACTGGCCAACATGGTGAAACCCCGTCTCTACTAAAAATATAAAAATTAGCCGGGCATGGTGGCAGGTGCCTGTAATTGCTATATGGGAGACGGAGACAGGAGAATCGCTTGAACCCGGGAGTCAGAGGTTGCAGGGAGCCAAGATTGCGCCACTGCACTCTAGATTGGGTGATAAGAGTAAAACTCTGTCTCAATATATAAATGAATAAATGCATGAATCAACAAAAATATGATCTATCCTTCCCTGTACTTGTACTACAAGGACATGCTTGTTGCTTCTACACTACACAAAGTCAACAGTTATCATCAACAGTGTAATAGAACTAGATTGGAACAAGGCTTCAAAGTGACTCTGCTCCACCAAAATTTAGAAAATTCAATTCAGGATGAACAACAGCTTTTGATTTAGAACCAACTCTTACCTTTCTCTCGTCATACATGAAGTCCTCACTTGACATTTCCCCCTGCAAATTGCAATGCATGTCCTAGCTATCAGCTTTTTCTGACACTTTAAAATTAATTTATAAAAACTGCAGAAACAATAAGATTGTACTTCCAATTTTGAAACTCTAATCAGATTCCTGTTTTGACACAAACTTACTCCTCTGCTGTGTACTCCACCAGCACAGCGACCCTTTCTCTCTCTATTCTTTTGCCCTCTGGATTCCTTTACATGTGCTCTTTGGCTGCCTAGACAGTCAGGACACCTAACGCCATCTGGAATTATCACTCCTCTCCTCCTTTTCTATGGCTAATACCACTTTCCTGCTTTCTTTCTACTGCTGAATATCCAGAATCGATGCTGTCATCAGGGAACCAGAGTCGACCTCGGCTTCGAGCTCCTGGATGGCAAAGCTGCATCCCTGGACGATCCTAAAGTATAACGAAACATGTTACTGTTACAACAATGCTACTCAGCTTTTACATGGGATTTTCTGAGTCATAAATTATGTATTAATACATACTAAAGCCGAGTCATTTGAGACCAAATATATGCCTGGTTAAATTTCTTTTTTTTGGAGATAGGGTCTCACTGTGTCAGCCAGGCTGCAGTGCAAGTGGCATGATCCAGCCTTGACATTCCAGACTCAAGCAATCTTCCCTTCTCAGCTCCCTAGTAGCTGGGATTGCAGACCTGTGCTGCCACATTGGGCTAAGTTTTAAAATTTCAGCAGAGATGAGGTCACCCTATGTTGCCCAGGCTGTTTTCGAACTCTTAAAGCTAAGTGATCCTCCTGCCTTGGCCTCCCAAATGCTAGGGTTACCTGCAGGAGCCATCACACAGGCCCATTTCGTTGTTGTTATTTTGTCTGAGACAGAGTCTTACTCTGTTGCCCAAACTGGAGTACAGTGGTGTGATCTCAGCTCACTGCAACTTCTGTCATTCTGGTTCAAGTGCTTCTCCTGCCTCAGCCTCCCAAGTAGCTGGGACTACAGGCATGTGCCACCATGCCCAGCTAATTTTTGTATTTTTAGTAGAGACAGTGTTTTATCATGTTTTTCAGGCTGATCTCAAACTTCTGACCTCAAGTGATCTGTTCACATTGGCCTCCCAAAGTGCTGGGACTATAGACATGAGCCACCAAGACTGGCCCCAGGCTTGTCTTGAACTCCTGGCCTCAAAGTGATCCTCCCGCCTTGGTTTCCCAAAGGACTAAGGCATGAGCCACCACGCCTGGCCTATATTTATTAAGGACACGAAATTGTGCTTTATGAGGAAGTATTCCTCACCACCCCCTGCCTACAACACAAGAAAGGAGAGGAAGGGAGCAAACTAGAAGAAGAAAGGTGGTACTGATGAAAAGTATACCAATTCAAGATGGATTTTAAAAATTGCTTAACAGGGGCCGGGCACGGTGGCTCACACCTATAATCCCAGCACTTTGGGAGGCCTCGGCGGGTGGATCACAAGGTCAGGAAAGCGAGACCATCCTGGCCAATATAGTGAAACTCTGTCTCCACCAAAATACAAAAAATTAGCCGGGCATGGTGGTGTGCACCTGTAGTCCCAGCTACTTGGAGGCTGAGGCAGTTGGATCGCTTGAATCCGGGAGAAGGAGGTTGCAGTGAGCTGAGATTGCGCCACTGTACTCCAGCCTGGTGACAGAGCAAGACTCCGTCTCAAAAAACAAAAACAAAATAATGCTTCATTAACACCATTAACCTATGTATCTCCTTTCTTTCTTTCTTTCTTTTTTTTTTTTTTTTGTCATGGATTCTCCTCCTTTTTCCCTTGTTGGTTTTTTTTGGCATGATCTCCACTCACTGCAACTTCTACCTCCTGGGTTCAAGCAATTCTCCTGCCTCAGCCTCCCGAGTAGCTGGGACTACAGGTGTGCACCATTACACCCAGCTAATTTTTGTATTTTTAGTAGAGATGGGGTTTCACCATGCTGGGCCTTCTGGTCTTGAACTCCTGACCTCAGGTGATCCACCAGCCTTGGCTTCCCAAAGTGCTGGGATTACAGGTGTGAGTCACTGCATGTGGCCATATCTCCATTTCTTTCACAGCTGTATTAGTCCGTTTTCACACTGGTAGAAAGAAATACCTGATTGTGGGTAATTTATAAAGAAACGAGGTGGGTTTTCTTGTTTTTGAGATGGAGTCTTGCTCTGTCACCAGGATGGAGTGCAATGATGCGATCTTGGCTCACTGCAACCTCTGCCTCCCAGGTTCAAGTGATTCTCTTGCCTAAGCTTCCCAAGTAGCTGGGACTACAGGCGCACGCCACCACGCCCAGATAATTTTTCTATTTTTAGTAGAGACGGGGTTTCACCACGTTGGCCAGGATGGTCTCAATCTCTTGACCTCATGATCTGCCCATCTCGGCCTCCCAAAGTGCTGGGATTGCATGTGTGAGCTACCACGCTCGGCCCAAGAAAAGAGGTTTAACTGACTCACAGTTCTGCATGGCTGGGGGATCCTCGGAAAATTTATAATCATGGCAGAAGGGGAAGCAGGCACATCTTACATTGTGGCGGACTAGAGGTGAAGTGCGAGCATAGGAAAACCTGCCTTGTATAAAACCATCACATCTCAGGAGACTTAATCACTATCACAAAATCAGCATGTGGAAAACTGCCCCCATAATCCAATCACCTCCTACCAAGTTCCTCCCTTGACACATGAGGTTTACAATTCAAGATGAGATTTGGGTGCTGGCACAGAGCCCAATTGCATCAACAGCCATATGAGAAGTCTTCAAAAAGTCCATGAAAAATGTATATTAGCAAGAAACTAAGCATGGATTTCAAAATCTTTTTGTACCAAAATAAACTGCTACTAACTCATTATAAAATACCTCGACAGCATCTAGTTTGAGGCAGTAAAATGGAGAAGTCATCAGTTTGAAAAGAGCTCCTATCACAGCAAAATTAATTCTACCAAAATTGAAACAAGAACAAACATCAAATTTAGGGTGAAGCTTAGGTGGAAGAATGGTAAAATCACTGATGCTTTACTAAAAGTTTATGGGGAAAAAGCATCTAAAGAAATCAGCAGTTTACAAATGGGTAACTTGTAAGAAGGGACAAGATGATGTTAAAGATGAAGCCTGCAGCAGCAGGTCATCCACATCAATTTGCAGGGGAAAAAATGGATCTTATTTGTGCCCTAACTGAAAAGAATTGGCCAGGTGTGGTGACTCACGCCTGTAATCCCAGCACTCTGGGAGGTCAAGGCAGGTGGATCACTTGAGGTCCAGAGTTTGAAATGAGCCTGGCCAACATGGTGAAATCCCTTCTCTACTAAAAAAATAGAAAAATTACCTGTGCATGGTGGCACGCGCCTATAGTCCCAGCTACTTGGGAGGCTGAGGCAGGAGAATCGCTTGAGCCTGGGAGGTGGAGGTTGCAGTGGGCCAAGATTGTGCCACTGGCCTCCAGCCTGGGTGACAGAGTGAGACTCTGTCTCAAACCAAGAAAAGGACAAATGATTAACAGCAGAAACACGGCCAGGTGTGGTGGGATTCCAGCACTTTGGGAGGCTGAGATGGGTGGATCAACTGAGGTCAGGAGTTTGAGACCAGCCTCACCAACATGGTGAAACCCCATCTCTAGCAAAAATACAAAAATTACCCAGGTGTGGTGGTACGTGCCTGTAATCCTAGGTACTAGGGGGTGTTGAGGCAGAATAGCTTGAACCCAGGAGGCAGAGGCAGTGAGCCGAGATCATGCCACTGCACTCCAGCCTGGGTAACACGGTGAGACCCTATCTCAAAAAGAAAAAATAAATAAACAGCAGAAACAACAGCCAACACCACAGTCATTTCAATTGGTTCAGCTTACACAGTTCCGACTGAAAAGTTAAAAGCTGAGAAAACTTTCCACTTGATGAGTGCCAAAACCAGATCCGCTGCAGACAAGAACAGAGCTTTCAATGGAAATTTTAAATAAGTGGGATCTACTAGCTTGCTGCAAAATTAAGTATGGTTTTTGCCATTGAAAGGAATGTCAAAAACTGCAGTGACTTTTGCACCAACCAATAGATCATGATGCAGCTATTGGGAAAGTGTAATGGGAGGTGATACATGGCTTTCCCAGTATGACTCTGAAGACACGGCACAATCAAGGCAATAACTTTGAAGTAAAAGTGGTCCAGGCAAGCGAAGTGGACTGGACAAGAGCAAAGGTCATGACAATAGTTTTTTGAGCTGCTTGAGGAATTTTGCTTGTTGGCTTTCTGGAGGGCCAGAGAATAATAACATCTGCTTATTACGAGAGTGTCTTGAGAAAGTTAGCTAAATCTTTAGCAGAAAAATACTCAGGAAAGCTTCACCAGAGTCTTTCTCCACCACGGCAATGCTCCTGTTCATACCTCTCATCAAGCAACAGCAACTTTGAGAGTTTCTATGGAAAACCATTAGGCATCCACCTTACAGTCAGGATTTAGTACCCTCTGACTTCTTTTTCTTTCCTAATCTTAAAAAATCTGTAAAGGGCACCCATTTCTCTTCGGTAAATAATGTAAAAAAGATTGCACTGATGTGGTTAAACTACCAGGACCTCCAATTCATTGGGAATGGATGAAGTAGCTAGTATCTAGATGCTGCAAACAAAAGACAAAAATAAATAAATAAATGGCTAGTATCACTGCTTACAAAGTGTCTTGACCTTGGTGGAGCTTATGATGAGAAGTTTATAAATATATATAAGTTTTTAATATTAATATATAAATATTTTGTTAAAATATATATTTTTATATAAATATTTTTCAAAAAAATGTATATATTTTTTCGAGACAGAGTCTTGCTCTGTCACCCAGGCTGGATGCAGTGGCGTGATCTCAGCTCACTGCAACTTCTGCCTCCCAGGTTCAAGCAATTCTCTGCTTCAGCCTCCTGAATAGCTGGGATTACAGGTGCCCACCACTATACCTGGCTAATTTTTGTATTTTTAGCAGAGACAGGGTTTCACCATGTTGGCCACACTGGTATCAGACTCCTGACCTCAGGTGATATACCACCTCCGCCTCCCAAAATGCTGGGATTACAGGCATGAGCCACTTCATTCAGCTGATTCTTTCTGACAATTACACATTTATACATTCAGGAGAATGTGAAGGAGGCCTCAGAGTAGAACTAAGGATCCACAGATTTTTGAAGTTCCCTCGTACGTCTCTAAAAAGTTGTATATATTGTTTCCTTTCTCAACCCAATCTGGCTTCCCTGCCCCATAATTCTAGGTCATCAATGATTTGTAAGTCACTGAATGCTATGGCCTTTGTCAAGTATCATACTTGACCATTCCGCGGCATCCAACCCTGCTGACGATGCCTCTTCCTTGAAACACTTTTCTCTTAAGTAACCCAGAGTTCTCTGGTTTTTCTCCTACTCTCTGGCTACTCCTTCTCTGTCTTTGTAGATACATTTCCTTATCTCTGTGTAATGTTAGTTTTTCGAGGCAGGGCCCTAGGTCTGCTTCTCTTCTTTTTTCTCTTCCCTTCAAGTGACAGAATTCATAGCCATGACTTCAATGGCCACCTAAAAAGAGATGAATTCCAAATCCTTACATCCACTTCCTACCTGCCATTCACCCCTCACTGTAACAGGGTTTCTGTCTCTTTTAGGTCACCAGTTTCATTAGTTCACTAATGAAATCACAATTGCCAAATCCATTGAACACTTCCATTTCTTGTCTTCCTTAACCTCTCTGTGGCATGGGACATTGTCAGCCATTCTCCTT